AACTATTTGAGCGACACACTTTGCTTCTATGCCGCCTTTCACCGAAGCAATGTTTTCGACAGCAATGAATAGTTCGGGGACCTTGATGGATGGAGGGTAAGAAAAGAAGTTGGGGAGTTCAGCATCTATTGGATTTGATATACAAATACTGTATACTCGCTTAATATTGGCATCATATCGCTGCTGTCTTCTATTTTTTGTTTTCCTCTTATTTTCTTTCTTCTTTCTCTTCTCTGRGGTAAACTTCTGTGCAGAGCCTTTAGGCTGTTCAATCTTGACTGGCAGATGAGGATTCATCTAGCAGTAAATGATCCATGTCCTGCTGAAAGAACTAATGCTTGTATAGGAGATGCAGTATCAGATGGAGGTTCCCTTCCTTTTAATAAATTCCAGCCACACCARGAAATCAGCGAAAGTGATTTGGAGAATATAACATCAGAAGAAATCAAAGCTCTTGAAGAAGAATGTGTTGAGCGTAATGTTTGGTACTGTTGCCAAGAGGTTTGCGACAGAATTGATGAATCCCCAGGACCCCATGGATACATGTCAGCTCATGTGACTCCAAGACCAGAATGTCAGTTCTTCTATAATACAAAATATCTCATGGAATACCACACAGCTGGATCGAAATCCGAATTGGTACCTGGGCACTGCTACTTTAGAAAAGTAGAGCTGTTCATTGAAAATCATTACGAGGATGGGGATAACTACAGGGAGTTCATTAAATGTTCAGACCTGCAGCAGTGTTCAACTTGCCAAACATGGGTCGGACCGTCAATCACCAAATGTCCAAGACCATACCCAGACTGGTCAGCCCTTCCAGATTACCACTATGTATCTTATAGCGAGACCCCAATTAAGAACAGAGATGTGGATGACTGGCAACCAAGGACACAACTGATAAAGTGGTTTGAAGACAAGAAAGTAGTGACAGCTGACCCTGACAGTGTTGCCACATTCGCAGATAAACTGATCGTCAAGCCAAAATTGGTGTTTGACTACCTTCAACACCTAGAAATTAAAGAATACAGAAAAGAAAAAAGAAAGCAAGAAAAGGCAGAAGCAAAACAAAAAGCTCAAGACAAAGAATACTGTAATTACGATTGGGACCAGCTAGTCCAGAATGTCGATGATCTTAAAAAGCTACGAGTGGCAGAGCTAAATAAAYATTTGCTCCACCATGATCTTAACGACCACTTGAAGAAGAGGAAAGACGAGAAAGTGTTGGTTATTCAAAACCATCACTACGCACAGAAAGTGAACCGGCCAGTAGCAGGATACATACCGAGGATGAAGACACAGATGCAGAAGAAGAAGAATCCGAATATGAAGATGTTGATCAAGATGATAATGATGAAGATGATAATGACGAAGTCGATGACTTAATTCTTGCAGTCATTGGCAATGACGATGACAAAGCATCCCCTAATGTTTCACGTTCTGGCAGAAAAATAGTGAATAGAAATGAATTGGATTATTTTTACTTTTAAAAACAATTTCAACAAATTAAACAATTTTCCTTTTTTTGTATTGCTTGATGATATAAAGTCATCCCTGTGTATTGCCTACATTCCTGGCCAAAGGCTGCAGACCACCTGATATTCTCAAGAATGATTTAGAACTCAAAGACAAAGAAACAAAAACTGTATATAGAGAACAATAGAATGACTCAACAGAATGGTACGATACTCTAACCGCTCGTGAACTGATTTAAGCGACGTCTGACGTTCATAATTACGACAACCGGTAAGAAACTTTATACTTATACCCTTCGACTATCTTTAACGAAAGTAGATAATGTAAACATGAACAATAAGATAATTCCAATAAGTCTGTCATATCCCCATCGGTGTGTTGGACAAAGTGTAAAAATTTAAAGTAGACAGCTGTTGTAGACAATAGGGACGTCAACAGGAAATGCAACACCATATATTTATCTGAAGTATGGAATCTAACAACAAAAAGTATGCGGAGATATCATAGTACTGAGGAGACAATGATCGATCAATTAGATGTTAGCCCTATTACAATGGCAGCCTTGAAATGTATATACTTTAGAATGTGAGTACTCCCTGTTACTTTGATTATCAATGTAACGTTACAATTACAGAACTCACTGAATTGTACACAAACATATATATGTATTTTTGAGGAATTGGTAGAGGGGGAGGGGGGGGGGCATCTCAATGAAATATGAACGAGAGGGTGGGCCATACAAAAAATTTGTACCAAACTAGGCGGGCTATACATTTTTTTCTGAGAAAGCTCCAAAAACCACCAGCCCCCCCCTCCCGATAAAAAATGAACGGTCCCTAAGCAATGTACATGTATGACAATGCAAAAACCAGAAAATGGAGTCATAAGCACACCAGAATCAGATGGATCAGAAGCTTTCCATTTTCTTCCAATTCCAATTCCATCTCCTATCCTTATGACAAGTGAAAACTACATGTAGAGTATCCGAATTGGAAGCAGAAACAAACAATCAATCACAATGCTCTTGTCCAGGCTTTCTTCAATGTTACATGTAGAAAAGCACATACACTGTACTTTATGTATCAAATCAAGGTGTTTGCTTCCAATTCTAATTCTGCTTATGATGATCATATTTGCAACTGTCAGTCGTTCATCATTCTAGATAACAGCTGAATCAAAGACTTACAGCATTTTATGATTATATTCATTTTTAACTTAATTTTTTAGTAATGATCATCAATTGTGCTGTATTTCTTGACAGGTTAATATCAGTTATTACTCCAGAAGACAGTTGGGTGTCAAGATGGCAAAGAATAGGTAATGGCAGGCACTAAACAAATATTTTAAGCAAATTGTACATTTTTTTTAGAAAAAAAAACTGTTTAGGAGCTTCATGACCCGAGTTTTGGTCTTGACTCCTGACTCTTAGCATATAAAATCTTTGATTTTTACTAAATATACCATACTTTTAATTTCAGATAACTTAGTTAAAGGCTGCTATGCTGTATCAGTAAGTGGGAAGCTTCCAGGAAATGTCATCAGAGAATTAAAAGCAAGAGGCATTACTTACAGAAATCGAGATAGAACAAATCTTTCATAGTTTGATCACATACTGCACTTAAGTGTATGTACACTTTACATTGTACATCGAACTTGATGCACTCGTAAGATCAGCCATCCCTTCAAAGTACTACCTGTCAGTAATGTATCTTGGCCGTGTAAATAAACCTTAGATTAAGCATGAGTATGTATACCTACAGCTGACTGACCTCTTTTTCAAGAAGTATGGCTTTATAAAGATCTAGAACTTTTTGAGCAGGCTAATGTTACATGAAGAAAATCATAACAGTTGGATTAGGATTGACCTAATCATAAAACTAGGGGTAGTACTGTAATAGAGAGCAAATAACAATGCCATTAAGAAAAATAAGTGCTGATGTTTGTATTAATGTTGAGATGTCTGCTACCATCTTATGTGTTTCTAGGATAGGGAAAAATGCATTGTAACTGGAAGGATTCTAATTTTGACATAAATATTTTTCAATTTCCAAGCTGTTATTGTGATCGTACAGTTATATTACTATTGTTTATTATCTTCGTAACATTAATGGTTGTTGAAAATGGAATGTGAAATGTATGAATAAATTATTCTCAAATAATAAGCCAGTTCATACCTTAAGAATCATTTCCAGTGCGCATGGATTTTATCCCAAATTTCTCACCTTCTTTTGTTTAATTAACGACAAAAGAATTTTTAAACAAAAGGTGAGGAATTTGGGATAAAAATTGCATGTACACTAAAAACAATTCTTAAAGTATGAACTGGCTTATGAGTTAGTATTTGGGAAATTCCTTCTTTTCAAGTCAAAATGACATAATCGTGAGAAATCTTATAACCATTTGGAATTCATTCATGATAAATCTGTTTTCAATAGTGTGTTAAAGACAATTCAATAAAAAGCATGCATTTATCATATTTTCAGGATGCATGCTTTGTAAACATTCAAATTCTTAATCTTCTCTAAATGTTGCAATATATGCTTGCATTACAAGTTGAGCACAAGCAATACTTATTTTGGCAGAGTGTAATTCTGCTAGTGTTGAAGGTCTAACAGTCACACAGTTGAATGATCTCTTCATTCTGTCCATGCTTCCAATGCACCTGTAAGTTTAATGATATGATCATAATAGGAAGAAAGTTTGTTAAAAATACTGTGTCAGGAGAAAGCAAGAAACAGATTTTTTTAAGTATAAAATACCTGTAGCTTTTGCCTCTGATTAATCTTGGTAAGACTCGATCCTGGGTAAAACAACAAAATTTGACAATAGTTTGTTAAATTGAATGACCTGCTAGTGGGAATGAAAGAGAGGGCACAGGTAACCCAGGACCTGTTAGACATTCCCCATGTGTTATGGCAATTAAAAAATTATTTTCAGTTCTTACATATCAAATGTGTTCAACTTTTAGAAGATTAAGATTACACAGAAACATTTGTACTCACCATTTCCCAAAATGTGCACCTAAAAGTGATAAAAAAGTTAAACGGCTAGTTAAATTCCCAAACAAATTCCTAATATAGAGAATCAAACTAAATTTTGCTTTTGTTGTTATATAACATGATATGGGACAATACAATCAAAAAACACCATGTATCTAAAAAAAAGTGTGTGTAGAGGTAAGGAAGTTTGAAGGGAGCTTGGCAAAATCTGTTCCAATAAGGGAAAAATAAGTTCAAATTATGGCTTAAAAATGGTATATCTTAATTGTACCAATGCTCCTCCCTCTTCTTAGCAATGACTATGAATGCCCAATCCCCAGTGGTGGGATTAGCTGTAATCATGGAAGGAAGGTTGTAAAAAGGTTCAAGTAGAAGTAATCCGAAATGAGGTTTTTTCTAGACAGCATATTATATTAGTTAAAAGCTAGGTTTTTTCTTGCCTTATACTGCCAGTATCATCTTTCAAAATAAAGGTCTTTGAATTGTTGGATATACCAGTGGAGACAGCTGACTCCAATATGCCTGTAGAAATTTAAGGATAAATAATCATTCAAAGTAAGGCATTGTTTTCTAAATTCTGGGTCATTGCAAGAAGTTTTATAATCTCATGTCACCATGGGTAAGCCCCTAGAGCACATGCAGCAAAACCATGCAATAAAAACAAAGTTGATACTGACAAATATTACTATTTAGTGACTAATAGTTGCTAGCACTCAACCATAATATAACATTCATTATACAAAAGACAAATACACAAGAGACCATTTGTGTCTTTTTGTATTTGGTTCCAGAATAAAGACTGATAGCCATTGCACTAAAGAGATCTTTCAAAAACTAATGAACATTGTTTACTTACCAAAAATTTCAAAAATGAATGTCATTTTTCCTCTGAATTCTTCCCAGTCCATGAGATTTTTTATGGAAGTAGTCAAAACTTTTGGTGAGTTTTCTATTTGGCCGCCTTTCACCAACTGTTCTTGCTTTTCGGTGTTCTAAATAGGTAAACAGACTGTTCAGTTCATTGCACATGCTCTTATACCTTCATCATATTTATCATAGAGAAGTAATCTATTAATATTAATTTACCAGATTCTTAGGCCCATGGCTGACTTCCTTGATCTGAGAAAATAAAATAAAATTTGAATTATATTTTAGTCTCAAACTCTAGAAAATAACTCATAGGTTCTACTTTATGTGCTATGAATGGGGAGTGTTGGCATTTCTTATTCCCCAAATCTATTAAATGCCATTTATTTACAATCCCAAAAGTGACTCTCAGGTTCTCCAGCTCATTCTGGATGGTAACCATGGTCAATGGGAAGAGAAGGCATGTCTCAACATCGCCATACAGATTCATCAAAGTCTCCCCTCCACATAGATAATTTATTAAGCTATACCATATGCCAGGGCCCTAACATTATTGCAGTTGCTAGATTTATATAGGAATTTACCTGTTGATCAATCTTCAGGCTTTGTCTTGAAAAATTGCCTTTATTGATAGGACTGTAAACATCGAAGTTGACGCGTTATTCAGACAAACTTTTTTCGGAGTTATTAAAGGAAGTATGGAAAAAGTGTAATGATGATGAAAGCTAGGAATGCTGAAAAATATTTTTAGCAAGCTTATTTTAGCTTATTTTTAAAATGGCAACATCACTTACACTGGTTTTGGCAAGAGCTTGATTTTAGGAGCCCAACTTTCTTTAGCTTTCTGAGCATCTGGCTTCGTGTTTCGTGTTAGTTGAGAACTTGCCATTACATTTTTATTTTGCTCCTTTTTTGGTGGATTGCGTGGTGCATGGAACACGCCGTTGCCAAAACTTGTGGTTTTCCTAAAACTGGATCCGTAATTGTTATCGGTGGATCTGTTCTTGCCTACAGCGTTAGGCTGTCCAGTTTCTTCGGCTGAAAAAACAGCGTTGTTCATTTGGCTGCTTGAAGACGAAGTCTGAAAGTTGTTAGTTTTCCATGTGTTGTTTGTAGTTGGATTAGAATACAGTGCTTGCTTTACTCTTCTCTTTTTGTTGCTAAAGATAGGAACCAAAGCGCAGCTGGAGGTGTTTTCCACTACGATAAAAAAGTGAAAGTTTTCGTAAATAACTCCGCAAAAAAAGACAATCGTACAAAACAAACGCATATTATCAAAGTTTACCGTTCAAATAAATCATGATCATTTCAAAAAAACTTACTCTTTGTTAAAAATAGTGGAAATAACGATTTAAAGTCTTGCTTTGTTGGTCATGAGCTTATTTACCTTAAATAATTTGGCCAAAGTTTCAAAATTCCCTTTCCGCTCGCTTTCCCGCCTTTTTTCAATTACTACGACGCGCGCGCGCGCTAAATGTAGGGACACAGGCAGCCCAACACATGGCCAGTTGGTAAGGAGTTGGTAAGTGACTGATCACGTTCAAAGACTTTTCAAATCGTTGTGCTGTAGGTAAACAGGAATGGGTACACTATGGCGCATATGAGTGGAAAAAATATTTATAAGATCTATATTTATTCGAGTATCTTCAAGGTGATCTGAGGAAAGCAAAGGTTAAAATAAAATAAAAAGTTAGAAATAATTTCAAAAACCGAGTTGCGGGTAACTCTATCTCACTGAAACGTGCTTGACTCAGTGTCTTGGAAGCCTAAAGTTTTTCCATTGGGCCACGATTTCATCAATAACCATAAACAATGCACCGTACCAGATAGACTAGATTATTTTCCACTTCAAATCAACGTGCCAGTGCGTGGCAGAGTGCAAGGGATTAATCCTGTAGATAAGGTCTGGGGGCCGGCTAGTCTCCCCTGATGCTTCGGCTAGAACACTATCCTGCGTAATCCGTACACCCAAGGGCAGAGGGACTTAATCGCCGTCATGTCCGAAGTCCATACGACGGCCCAGCGGATGTCTCGGGGTATGGCATGAAGGCAATAGATTTTTTCTTCTGTATTTTTGAATTAAATTATCTGATTAAACTTTGTTGGACGCGGGTTCCATTCCCACCGTATTGAAAATACTTTTTTTTTACTTCTTCGTTTCATCTAGCCCTAGTTATTTTTTATATATTATTTTTTATAAGCGACTTTAACTAATTCAACAAAAATGAGGATTCTTATATTTTTTTCTTTAGAAAGGATGTCTACTGTCTGGGAACAGTTGACTAAAGACGCTTTTACTAAACTTGGATTTTCCGTCTCATATTCTATAGACTAATGATTTATTTCGTCGTCGTTACATGTCATGGCGGAGCACCATGCTTAAGAACRATTGATAAACCATTGAGCTGATTTTTCATGGCTTGAATAGGTCACTCAGTTCTGTCCGTCCCCGGGTCCGTCCGTCCGTAGGTATATACTTACCAAGGGCGGATCCAGGGGGGGGGGG